CATTGAATTTAACTTCTCTCTTGTTGAGAATTCAAAGATTCCTTATCAATCCTTGAGTAACTATCTCTCACACACAAGCGGATATTCTGCTGCAGGGAAATCAATACAACATCGCATAGGCATTGGGACCGTAGCGTTATCTTGGCTTCCTATTCCCGACTTCCCTTCTCATGGACGACCCTGCATGGTGTCACCCTTTTGTCGAGCATTACCCGCCTTGATGGTCTATCTGTTAGGGTCATTGGTTTTGTTCCGCTACCACTCCCTCACCTTGAGCCTGATGACCTATCCCACCTTCATGTGTGAGTGCCCTTAGGGGTTTCGATTCTTAGGCTGCATTCACCCCCTCTGAGATCATCTCACTCTTAGTGGTTCAGCGACATGACTTTGTCTTGTGGCATATTGCTCTTTTTCCTTTCAGCACTAAGGCCATTGCCTCCAGGACTTTAGGATTGTATCATGCTACATTTAATTTTCTGCTGTCAGTTAGGCTGTGTATACCAGATATTTGCTTTCCATTCGACATTATGTACCTTAGGCTGCATCGCATGAACTCCGCATCCTAGATTTCTCAACTTTCTTTATTGTAGAGTTTTGCTGCTTTTGTGGATAGTGTGTTTGTGACTCTTGCGATCCATTACAGGTTTGAGGATCGTGCATCGGGCCTCTATCTGCCCTGACCTACAGCCAGGGCCTTTTCGGCTATTTGCCAATTCGGCCTGTGGGACCAGGCCGTGGCTTGACCCTACAGGCCGTGTGCTGTTATAGTCCAGTCCAGTCCTGCCCGGTACCACCGTCGGTACCAGGCCAGTCCAGTTCAGTCAGTCAGTCCACTGGGGGTATACCCCAGCCGTTGTCTTTTTTTCAGATCATTCTTCACTTTTGCATATCTTGGAGTACGTGCGTGTTGAGTCTGCGCCGGAGCTGCGCTGTCCTTCCAGCTCCATCTCTACCTCCTCCTTCATCAACCGTCCTTCTCCATCTTGACAGACCGCCATCCCGGCGGGTCTGGCACAAGAGTGGTGTGGATTCGAAGGCCCAACTGCAGCGTTGACAAGTAAGGTCTGCCTGGATCCCTCTCTCAGTCAACCAAACTGCTCAGGGTGTTGAGAGCAAGGATAGCAGCCACCACTGCAGTGCTGCATGTCTTTGCTTAGGGAGAAGTTTGAGTTGTTCCCAACATCTGGAGATTGCCTTCCTGACAGGAGGGAGGGGTTCTCTGATCAGAGTGAGGGCAATTCTGTTTCTCATCACGATGGAGAGGTGGTGTCCTCTCCTTTCCCCTCCGTGTCGTGGAGAGAGTGGTTTCATACCTTGTTCAAAAAAAGGTTTTCGCATGAGTAGCTGGTTTTAACAGGCTGGGAGTTTATTCAGTTTTTCTAAAACTCCTTACTTTGTTCTCTGATTCTCGGAGGTGAAGCCGGGTATTGGTCCCAGTATTTGAATGCTTGTAATTTCATATGGGACGATGGGCCCAGTTCCCAGCACCTGCTGCTCCCCACAAATAGATTGGAGCCTTTGTCCCCAAAAAAAGAGAAAAGAAGAAAAAGAAAAAAAGAAAAGTTGTAGTACTTGTGTCCACCTTCCGACTGTTGTTTTGTTTGACCTGGTCAGTAGGCATTCATAGTTTTTTAACCTCTCCAATAGTTCTCAATAGTTCTCAGATTGATTCTCAGCCGACTTGTGTAACTCTATATGGGGCGCTGGGCCCGGTTCCCAGCACGTGCTGCTCCCCACGAATAGACTGGAGCATTTGTCCCAAAAAAAAAAAAAGAAAGACCTTCCCAACAGCCAGGGCTTGGGCTTGGCCGGAGTGCGTGGCCCATGCCAGAGGGCCATTCTTTTTGTTGTAAGGGACGCGAAGCCCGTTTCAGTCCGTTTCCTTCTTTGTTTTCTGTTTTTAAATTTTATAGGTACAGTACCGATACTTCTCAGGAGGTCACCCATCCCAACATTATTCCGGACCAACGGCGCTTGGCTTCTGAGTTCGGATGGGATCGAGCAGTTAGCCGTGGTGTGACCGTACCATCGGGCCCGTTTCCGGTATCTAACCTCGGAGTCCCCCCCCCCCCCAAAAAAAAAACGCAGTTAACGGTATGCCAGCTGAGCTAGGCACATTCGCATTTCAGATGCGCATTTCTCTTCTCGGGGCAGCATCCGCACTCGGCGCTGCCCAGAACGGAATTGGCAGGCGGAGCGGAGCGGAGTGGAGTCGAGCTGTGCGAACGGGCGTGCCGAAGTGCAACCCCCCTCTCACTCTGTGTCTCTATCTCTCGCACACTGCCTCTCCCTCTGTGTGCCGACGGTGTTGTGCCTGAAGATGTGGAGCGTTCCGTTCCCACTCGGCCCAAAAAGGAAATAGGTGAGTCCCCGCGGCTTAGCGAAGTGCACCCTGCCTCCCTCCCTCCTTCCCTACCTCTCTCTTAGCGGTGTTGTGCGCGAAGAGGTGGAGGGTTCCGTTCACACTCGGCGCCAAACCAAATAGATTGGTTCATCCGGCGTATGCGAATTGCACCCTCTCTCTCTTCCCCCCCCCTCCCGGTGTCTCTCCTCTCCTCCCACCATCCACGTGTAGGGCCGCAACTCCATTTTGTGTGGGCGTGCCATGTTGCAAGTGGGACTGAAATTTTGCCCGGCCGCGATCAGAAGGAATAGGCGGGGAGCATGCCGTGCATGCGGAGAGGCAGGGGGAGAAGGAACTCTATGGGGAGGTGAAGTGCCTGGTCATGCAGGCAGTAGAAGGTCGCCATTGAAGTCTTGAGAAGCTGGGGAGTAGCAGGGGAAGGGGGAAGGGGGAGGGGGAGGATGGGGGATCAGGAGGATGAGAGAGTGGGGACTGGGTCGGTCAGGACGGGATGTGAAGACAGAGGAAGCAGAAGGGGAGTCGTCGCGATAGGGTGAAGCATGCAGGGTAAGTTGCCGGCGTTAAGGGGGTTGTGGAGGAGGAAGACGTCGAGGAGGAGGAGGATGCAGGTCGGGGACCCAAAGGGAAGGGGGTGGGCAGCGCGGACTAGGAGGGGGCCGATCAGGATGTGAGATCGAGAGGAGGAGGTGGTCGGAATGCCAGCCAATCAGGGTGAGAGAATGTAGGAACCAGCCAATCAGGGTGAGAGAATGTAGGAACCGATGAAGTACAGGGGAAAGAAGGCGAAGGCAAAAGGCTAAGGAATGCAGGTCGTGTAGGGGGGATCCGGACGAGGTGGGGAATAAGAGATTGCAAGGCAGGAAAGAGGTTCTCAGAGGGGAGGGGAAAGAACAGGTAAGGAAAGGAGAGAGCAGGATAATGACGAAGGGTGTCAATGACGAGAGGAATAGAGGTAAAATGTGGATATGCAGGTGACAGAGGGAGAGCAATGAAGAGAGAAAGAGCAACAGACAGAGGAAGACAGGAAAGGGCATACCAGATCCACAGCGAGTATTAAAGAGGAGCTCGAAGAGGATGCCAACGGAGGAGAGAAGGCGTGGAGAAAGAGGGGAAAGGAGAGGCAACGGACACAGGACAATGAGAGAACAGGACGGGAAAAAGTAGGTTAGTGGGGGGAAGATCGGGAGGTGGGTTAGAGGGCGCAAGTTGAAAGATGGAATCGGCCAGGCGGGAGAGAGAGAGAGAGAGAGAGAGAGAGAGAGAGAGAGAGAGAGAGAGAGAGAGAGAGAGAGAGAGAGAGAGAGAGAGAGGGTGAGTCATTTCCGTTTGTGTCAATGTTTGAGCGGAGTGCGGACTGATCGGATGGCAAGGGGCTAGGAGGATAAGGGTGGGGCAAGACTAGCCGGAGAGATCTATATCAGAGA